GACTTTAGTCTTTGCAACTTTACAGATCTTCTTTATGCACCAAGAGCTTGTAACACTCCAAAGCGAAAGGAAAAATTGAAATCGCATCATATGACCCCTTTAAATATGTCGATATTTACCATCTGAAAATTAATGAATTTAAAATAAAGGGCACATACCCTACAATATATTTTTTTGTGTCTACAGCGGATTTTCAGTTACTTAAAGTCGGCATGAAATCAAAATTGACTTTATTTACTTTACTAGCGTTTCAGATGGAAATACGTCACTACACTGAAATAAAGTTGGCAGCAACTTCCGGTTCACGCAGACTTTAATTAAAAAATAAAATTTGCTTGAGGTTAACAATCTGCATGTCACCGAATCAGTGGCATCACGTGACCAGTGAATTCATCTGAACTGAAGCGCCAAGTAGTGTTCAAAACAGAAAATCATCGTAGGAAACTTCCGGTGTCATGAGAAATCGAGTCCCCCCTCGAAATCGGGTCCGCTTAGGACCAAGGCGGTAGCTGTTTTAAATGCCTGATCAAAAGTAAACACTTGTGTTACTATTTCGTTGTGAATATATGTATGGTAAGTGCAAATGCGTGGTGTATAAGCTAACCTAGCAGGCTAATCGGGTAGCTGTATGCTATGCTAGTACATGAGCTAACCAAAAAAAATAAATAAATGAGAAATGTTTGATTTCACAACCTATAGCTTCGGATACTAGCGTATGAAACATGTAATTTAAAAGACATTAATGGTCATTATAACGAAGTTCAAACGACATAAATCAAAGCACGATTTTGTAGGAATTGTAATCAGGCGCTAAAAATAATACCCATTAAAAGTTCGTTGAGCCAATGGGATCACTCGGGGTCCTAAGCGGACCCGATTTCGAGGGGGGACTCGATTTCTCATGACACCGGATGTCCAGGGTCTATCATGGTAAAAACAATTAAAAACATATTTTAATAAAATAATTGCATAATAGCCCTTTAAAAAAATGTTATGATTCTAGACATGTAAAAGAAAACTGACATAAAATTGCTAAAACTTGAACAGTAAAACAGGAAATAAAACATTCAGAATATTAATAACTGTCATAGTATATTAATGATACTAAAATTACACTGGCACATGCTTATCAAAATATAATACTTAAATAAAGATAATTTCTAACATTTAAAGTTTATTTGGTTTATTTTTATCCAAAGCGACTTACAAATGAGGACAATGCAGCAATCAAAATCAGCAAAAGAGCAATAATATGCAAGTGCTATAACAAGTCTCAGTTATATGTGATGTGATAAAACAAATTTACTCTCACAGCGTAGGATACAGCGTCTTCTCGACATGATGTTAACCACATGGAAATTGTACTGTTTGTGGGCGGGCAAGTTGGCGACGTAGAACGTGGGCAGACATTATGCAAATGTTTTACTTCGTGACGTAGAGCCGTAACAGAATAAGATTCGAATTCCTGATGACTCGTTTAGGCGAATGCGAGCCGATTTTTATTTTTATTTTTTTGATAGACAATAACTTTATTTATTGTGCACTGTCGGCTTCACAACTTTGCATATAGTTTATGGTCACATACAGCTACATGACACACTGCATGAAAGGTAATATTCGAAAAGGCATAATAGGGGCACTTTAATGCAGTACAAGTAGCAAGTTTTTTTTATTATATAATAAATAAAAATAAAACAAATAGAATAGAGCAAGCTAGTGTTAGAGGCCTTTTTTGCTTTTGTTAATTGTATAATAAATAAAAAGAACAGAGTGCAAAAGTGACTTTTCAGCAATTTTTCAGCTATATCTACAATAACAAAGTGCAGTAAACCGTAAAACTATTGTGCTATAGACCAGTGTTTATGATTTGGGTGGTAAATTAAAAATATGACAAATAAATAAATAAATGTATGAATAACAACAGAATTTCGGTATTTTGTTAGTGATGTTAAAGTGGTTTCAAAAGAAGCATTGACTAATAACCTGGTCATAAAAGTTTATAGACTGGGTGTAAAATGAGTGTTAAATGCTGAATTAAGTGTTTCCCTCTTCTTAATATTCACAAAGCATTTGGTGCAAAATTTTAGCAAAAAAGCTGAATGCTAAAAGTAGATTATTTGTGCCACAAATATAAAGCAGAATAATTGTCCTTTTAAGATGAAGATAAAAAGCACCTTACTTCAAACACTTTCAACCTCCACTAGATCTGTCGAAATATGAAACCGCTGAAGGCAAACCTCCACCACAAGCCCTTAACCAACCCACAACCGTTAAATAAAGGCACTTATTATAATAACTATGATAATCTTATAATGTTCCTTATTTGACATTTTAAGTTCCAGCTTAAAGATGGGAGCCATCTGCAATCGTGTGCAGTTGCTGACACTCAAGAAAGCGTGCAAACGCTTTCCTATGCACGCTGTTTTATTCGGTTTCACTTTCACTTTCGGCGAGAGATTGGAAAGGGGGGGCACAGCAACCCGTTTGTGGGGGCACGGTCCGCGAATGCCTCCCATTGGCGCCGGTCCTGTGTCGGGATCCTCTCCGATCATGAGGGCTTCCTTCATCTGTACAAAAACATAAAAACATGCTCATTTTCAGCAACAGAAACTAACGAAATCACAAATCACACACAATTAAATGCTAATTTTGCCAATAAAGATGTTTTCCTCTCACTATGCCATCTACAGGTGATACTTGCCCTTTCTGGAGTGTCTGTAGCGATAGTAAATCACACCAGCGGCAGCAGCAGCAGCAGCCACCAGCAGAACACCAACAACAACACATACTCCTGCTACAGCAGCTGAAGACAGACCTGAATCTGGAACAAAAGAGACAATCATTAGTGTGAGCGAATCTATCAGACTGATCTATAACAAACAGTACGAGATATCAGCAGCTCTGAGAGAGTACATGTGAATCTGTTTCAGTTTAAAGTAGAACATGTTTCATACAGTGACATCAAAAGCACCAATGCTTTGGTACCGAGACATCAAGGTACTAAAATAAAGATGTAACAACATTTTTCTTTACGTTCTCCTGTAAGAGTTGTTTCCCTTCCGTATATGGCCAAAAATTATACTTGCCAGTCACAGAAATACTGAAGCTCATAATGCTGGTGATACTGTAGCAGTTTCTGCTGGATTTGATCTGTAGCTTATAAAGAATGCTGGTGATACTGTAGCAGTTTCTGCTGGATTTGATCTGTAGTTTATAAAGTCCAGAGTCTGTGGTTCTGATGTTCGTGATGGTCAGAGATCCAGTCTGATGATCCAGCTTCAGTCTGGCTCTGAATCTCTCATCACACTGATCATCTTCACAGATCTTACTCTCATCTCCAGTGATTTCAGCGATGGGAATGTCATTGAAATACCACATCATCACATTATTTGGGTTTTTTACTTCAGGGGTGTCTAAAGCGACAGATTCTCCCTCCTTCACTGACTTTCTCTTCATTTCAGCAGCGCCATCTGAAACACAAACCAACAACAGCTGGAGGATCTTTCTGAGGAAGAAACTCTAACAGGAACAAACTTATGAAAAATTATTTAGCATATTCATTTCCTGGATCTTAAGAAAACCAGTAGAAACAACATTAACTGCAAAAGTGCAAAATATAAAAGAATTGTGTCTATCTTTATTCTTGCAGACAGAGAAATTTCAATTCTGCTGGATTAAAAATTTATTACTGACTCATACATGTATTACACGTATAATGTAAAGTTTGTATAACTACACAAGAATACATTACAGGGTTTTACTACAAGGGAATATAAATTACTGCATTATAATTTCACCAAACACTTTTTGAATAATCTTGTGATCATAATACGAGACAATATGACAGTAACATTGACATTATTTTAGGTTTCTTTATTGTCAATCTGTAAAGCAACATTTATCAACATTCTGTGCTTATAAACACAATTTATTTGCTTACTGTACATTAAATGTTCTGCATTTTGCAATTCAGTAAACTAATGTAATGAATGTAAGAAATGTAATGATGGGAAACTGACCAGAATGAAAGTAAATCTAAAACTAATGGCTCACCACCAGTGGACGCAAATGAGCTTAAAGGGGTCATATGATGCTGCTAAAAATAACATTATTTTGTGTATTTGGTGTAATTAAATGTGTTTATGTGGTTTAAAGTAAAAAAAAACACATTATTTTCCACATACTGTATATTATTGTTTCTCCTCTATGCCCCGCCTTTCTGAAACAAGTTGATGTATTCCCTCAGCGACCAGCACGGATCAGCTCTAGGCATGACGAAGCGGATATCGTCCTCTTTTGGAAGGCCAAACAAAGTAGTTTCGCTTTCACAACGAAGCACACAGCATCTTCACCACATGGCGGCAGCGGCAACAATACTACAGTGAGAATAAAAGTTACGCCTTCTTTCTCTGCGTGAACATTTGGGCGGCGTTATGCAAATCTTCCCACATAGTGACGTAGACATGTGGGGGCGTGTTAGAACGAGGCGTTTTAGGTAGGTGTGGCTGACTCTTAACTTTTATAAAGAATATCTCTTTGGATTTGAGACTTTAGTCTTTGCAACTTTACAGATCTTCTTTATGCACCAAGAGCTTGTAACACTCCAAAGAGAAAGGAACAATTGAAATCGCATCATATGACCCCTTTAAAATCATTGTTCTGGTGCACTAAATGTCTGAAAGCAACTCTGAATGTCCATATTATACTAAACATATTCATTATATGATTTGAACACATATAACTTTTTAAACATCTGTTAATGACTTACCATGAACATCAACATTGAAAACCTTTCTAATGCGGCTGCTGCTGCTGCTGAAGATCTTTAGATGATAAACTCCATTATCTGAGGTGTTGATGTTTGTGATCGTGAGATCACCAGTTTGATGACCCAGCTCCAGTCTGTCTCTGAATCTCTCATTATCTTCATGACACTGAACATCTGTGCAGATATGACTGAGATTGTGTTGAGCGACGAGAGTGTCAATAAAATACCATTTAACTCTGTATTGTTGGTTTATTGTAATATTAGTGTGAAGAGTGACTGAATCTCCCTTCATCACAATCACTGACACTCTGTCTGTGCCCACATCAGATGCACCTGGAGAAGAAATAAACAGCTAATTATAAATCTCCTTTTAGATAGAAGGACAAAGAAAAAGAAAAACAATAAGTACAATTTCACAGACCCCTGATGAATACTATCCCTTCAAAGGGAAGGAAAAATAACTTACAGTAATTTTCCTGCAAACTACGACTTGAATAATACCATTTCGTGCTTTTATTCAAAATATTTCTTTCACATATATCAATTCAGTTTTGCATGTATTTGTAGAAGCCGCTCTGTCAGTAGTAGTAGTAGGCTACTATTTTAGAGATATTTTTTCAGTATTATATTTGACAAATTCCATTCAGCCCAGGCTGGTCTGAGCCAACAGGTGTGCTGACATTTTATTGTACCCGTCAGATTGTCCTACCAAGGTTTACTGCGCATGCGCACTTCAATATTGCGTCCTTTTGATAAAATACTGAACAACAATATTTAATGTATTTGCATTACTGTAAGGGTAGGTTTAGGGTTGTGGTAGGTGTAGACGTTAATAAACCATAATTTTACAGGTAGCATTTTTCGTTGTCGAATTGTACTACCCACTGTTTTAATGGGAGATAGCAAAATCTGACAGGGTAAATTAGCACAAATCGACAGAACACCGGTTCTCCAGCAGTTAAATACGTCTAAAACTATTTAGTCATTGATTTTTTTTTTATCGTTGACAGGAAGGTGAATTGTTAGAAGTGTCTTACCGTGCATGAAGAATGCAAACACTGCGAACAAACTAACGATAAACTTATTTTTCAGACTGTAACCCGCCATGGATGGTTAAGACTAAGGGATACATCTGGTAGTGATGGCCGCTTTTGAAACACTGTTCATGAAGCTTCGAAACCTTTGCAAATCAATTGTTTCGAACCAGTGTTTCGGAGCGCGTATCAAAATAGGCTTGTTTGAGATGAGCAAAATCTGCGCAGAACCGATCACCGCGAGATGCATGCCGGTTAGAAAAGTGTCCGAGTTACGTCCGACTTGCTCTATTGTCACGCTGATTTATGCCAAAAAACTCTCGCGACGGCGAGGCGGCTGTGTCGGATTGCGCAATCGAGCGCAGTTGCTCTCCGCGCCGACTGCGCTGATCAAAAACATGATGGGAAAAGGCTGACTGACGACACAGCTTAAAAGGGTCATGAAACCCCCTGTTTCAGCACTGGTTAGTTCTTACCACAGTTTTAAAAAAATGCTTTAAAAAAGTGGGCGTGGTGCGGAGCGGAGGGGGAAGAGGGGAGACAGATATGGAGATAGAATTGTTGCTTAATTCCAAATAAATAGATTATGATCCACAAATAAATGTAAAGAGATTAACAAACATTAAACATATTGACAAATAAATAGAATGAGATCCACAAATAAATCTTAAAGTTTCACAAACATGAATTAAATTCACAAATAAATAAAATGAGATTTGCAAATAAAAAAACATATTCACAAATATATATTTATGTCACAACCACAACTTTGCCTGGCATTTATTTGTGAATCGCGTCCTGTGCATTTGTAGATAGCTGCACGCATTTGTGAATCGCGTCCTGTGCATTTGCGAATTGTGAAACATTTCTTGCATCAAGAAGTGCTGGCAATCCACAAATACGTGGACTCCACCCACCGTCTACTCAGGCCAATCAGATAACAGCCACATTTCGCTGACCAATTTTTTTTAGGAGTCGTGGTAGTAGAGGCGGCGCAACTATAACGACATGTGAATAATCCCGCCCACTCTAAAGCGGAAACGCAAACCGTGCCGAGCCGAACCGTGCCATGCCGTACTGAGCCGTGCCGAGCCGAGTCGTACCACGCAGTGGAAAAGCGCCATAAGGGCAATAAAATGGGTACAGTAAAAGATGTTTAAAATTGGATTTCGTTAGACCATCAGACTGTGTATCATGCCAAGCCACAGTATTATATTTTTTTAAATATATAATATATATTTTTTAAATCACGGCTATGGGAACGGTGACCATGATTTGACCAAGTACAACTGGATCAACGATCAACATCCTTGTTGATCCTGGAACAACATTCCAATTAACCAATCAGAATTGAGGGATAACTTTTCGGGAAATATCTGTTTTAGGCTTGAATAAATTATGGGTAAGGTTAGGTTTAGGGGTAGGGATTGGGTTTAGTCTATATTTTTGGACAGTAATGTTGATCATGTCAATGAACATGTCTTACTTGGCAAAATCACGGCGACCTATGGGAACAACGCTATATTAGATACAAACGCATTATGGAAGCTCATGTTATTCAATATGGAAATAAAAGCGTCAATAAGTAACTGACTATATATATATATATATATATATTACCTTTTATAAGCATTTTTACATTTATAAAGCCATTTTTTTTCTTAAAGTGTGCATCATCTTTTTGAGTCAAATTCTTGCATATAATTTGTCAATCAGAATAATGAGACATTTGGGCTGTTACCAAGCAAATGGTTAAAAAATTAATCTTTGCAATTCAGAGGAAACACAGAAGCTGCATCTGAAGTGGTATTTAGGTGTCACACTGTTTAATGCAGCTCAGAGGGACATGGGAGGCTTTAACCTGCAGTTACAAATGCATAGATAATGTTTTGATATTTTAAACAAAAACATTGAATACTGACATTTGAAATTATAAAAAAAATGAAAAGATACTTTAAATGTGAAATTTAAACCACCAGTAGGTGTTAATAAGTGAGTCATTGTGATTGAACCGAATCATTTAAACGGTTGATTGACCCTGCGTTCCATTCGGAAGGGCTCATCCCTATGCCCTATTCCCTTCAAAGGGTTTACCCTTCGGAGTGAGAGCTTCGAAGGGTTGAAGGGTGTAGGGGACCAAACAACTGTTTCTTGAAGTGCCCTTCTGCGTCATC